TAGGCCCCGTTTGTTGAGTCGTGAACTGGGGTTGCGGGAACCCGTTAATCATTCCAGGCGGGGGGATCACTGGCGCCTCAGGGTTCATGCCGTATGGCGAAGGTTGCTCCTGGCGATACTCCGGAGAAGACTCTGCCCTCCGATGGCCGGTGCGCCTCAGTGCAGGAGCGGGGGTGCCCCGCCGGTTGCGCATATGGTCGAAGGGTCCGTACTGCCCCGGCGCGAGAGGAGGCTGCAATCGCGCGCGCGTTTGAGGAGTCAGTTCGTCCTCGTATTCCTCAGAGTCTGGCGAATCATAGGGAGAAGGCCCGGGATGGTGGTATGGTGTGCCAGCCCGACCGTACGTAGAGGGCAGGGGAGGTATAACCGGTGCTTCTGGGTTTTGCCCTTGACCTGGGATCACTGGATCTGGCATCCCCATGCCCATGCCCATGCCCATGTGTGGTGTAGCACCTTGTCCTCCCACGTTCATGTTCATCGGCGGTGCGGGGAACGGATTGCCTGTTGTAGGGACGGCGCCAGCCATGGGCGTAGGGATGACAGGGTTGACTCCGCCTTGCATCGTGGGCTGGGGGAAGACAAGAGACTGAGGAAGCATGTACGGCGACTCTGTGCACGGACGTGGAAGAAGGAGGGTTGGTCAAACGCTCGACCAGCAAAGACGAATGACACGCACGGCCATAGTACGTCTGCTGTGGCACGTTTGAGAATCCGGGCGCGTAAGACGATTGGGCGTGGTGTGGATACCCTCCGCCTAGGCCTTCATCATACGACTCGTCGCCTTCTTCGTACTCTCTCCTGCGCCTGCGCGTGGACCATCCCCCTTTTCTCGAGAGCGTGCGATCTTGGAGATAACGTGGTCGTGACTGGTAGTCTGCAGATGGGCGGCTGGCGTTGTTGCCCATCAGGCTCTGGCGGAATTATGCGGATTGAGCTGAAGAAGGTATCACAGGTGAAGCAGATGGATTGAAGGGTATAATTGAGCACGAGGTGGGCTCATGGAGGACCGTAGGCGTCCGCAGACTGAACCTGAGACGGCCACACCGCGGCCACAGTACAAGCAGAAGTGAACCTCGAGGCAGCCACGTGGTAGTGGTAGTCACGGGGTCGCGTCGCACTGCAAGACGCGACAAGACGCGCTGTCATCCTCTCTGGCCGACTCTCTTTCCTGTACTTCGCCTGTGTAACGGGAAGCTCCAAGCCGTGCGCGAATTTCTCAGAGTTACAGACATGCTGATGAATTTCCGATTGTGGTGAGATACAATGAACAAACACGAACACTCACATCTACCCATTCCACGCAAGTCGCGTTCACCATTAGCTAGATTCTCAGGACCTAACTTCAAGCCGCATGCGATGTGCCTGGTTAAGGGGATGCCAGCAGGTAGTTCCATGAACGAAGGAGCAAAGAGCGGTTGAGGAGCGCGATGAACTGTCGAGGCTGCAACGCAGGATTTATATGTGACCCGCGCCCAATCCCGACTTGTCTGATTGCGTCACGTACACAGCTCTCTTCACGCCAAGACGACCGTATGTCCCCGCCCCTGTCGCGATCACTGCTACCCGATCTAGGAGTGTGGTTGGGTGAGGGGCCGGATCAGGTTGCATACTGTCTCAATCCGCCGGGAGATCGGCTAGTGCATGATACGAAGCAAAATAAACCAGCTGGAAGTCGTATTCTAGTGTATCTCCGAGGTGAGCAATGATACTAGGCGCAACATACCTAACGTTTGGCATGTACGGACGTTGTGGCGCTGATACGCTCACAGATGAGTCTCTAGCACTTGCGCCATCGGCCGACAGATATGCAGGTCTACCGGACAAGCAAAGCCAGGGGCGCCGGCATGGTTTAGTGAGGGATCCTGCCCACTGTTTAACGCTGTTCAGGTGGAAAGGTCAGATGATCCCTGAGTTGTGTGATACTGGGCCGGCGTACTGACGGATCCGCACACATGAACGACCGCAATAAACGGATCCCCTCTCTCCAATGGCTCCCACGACGGAACGGAACCTCGTATGAAACAGCTCAAGTCGACTGAACGGACACCGTGCGACTGTCCCACTCCGTCTGACCCATTGACAAGGTATGCTAGCCTGCCGCTCGCGAGATCATTTACCCAATTGTATCGTCCTCCAACACAACGATAGTGGGATATTGTACATTGTGGCCATCGTGGCGCAGACTCGCCGTGCGGTCGGGATGAACGCGATCAGAGGTACTATCCGAAGAGGCGGCGTTGGTTGGCACAGTTCCGGTGGCGGCGGATCGACGCAATAGTGAACAGCTCGAGCTCGGGTACTGTACGGCTGAGAGGAAAGCCTCGGAACCGGAACCACGATGTCATCAGTCGCAGGGAACCCAGGCCGAGAAAGGCAGGGAGAGAGGCAAGCGGTATTCTATTCTTGACAGGCGCCTTGGAGGAAGATCGCCACCGCGGATGGGGCTTCTCATCCATCTTCGCATGCAGCCTCAACGACCAAGTGCTGCGCAGCTCCATACCACGACGAACATGTCCCGTCTCGCGCCATACTCTCCGAGGTTGCTGTCGGTTCTGGCGTATCGTCTCTTTCTGTCTTGCTGCAGTGCTGACCGTGACGCATGCTAGCATGTCCATAGAGAATGCCAGAACGAGCACGCTCTGGGGAAGTTCTGGACAGAAGTGGGAAGCACTCGCAAGGGGCATCTGCGGAGAAGGAGAAGCCCTCGTTTCCGGGCGTGATAAGGACGCGAGGCGCGCTCGTCCGCTCGTTCGTCCTCCGGTGACGCCTGCAGCTGCACGTCTCCCCCTCGACCGCTCCAACGTCCAACACACGCAGGCCGCCGTCACTTGCCCTCAAACCCGTCACAGGCACAACTTCCCTGTTGTCAACCTGCATTTCGCCATACAACGTCACCGATCGCCCCAGAAACACATAAATACCGCGTACCATGGGCTGCCTCCCATCCAAACCCAAGTCCGAGTCCCCGGCCACATCGACCATGACGCTTCATCAGCTCGTTCGTCCCGAAATCTACAAGGGCGGGAAACGGCCTTCCTTCTCTGCCGCATACGCTCGCGCTGCTCGCCGCTATGGCTTCGAGCCCGGCCGCAACGCCGGCTTCGCCAAACGCAATAACCTCGTCGTCAAAGTCAAGAGCAAGGACAACAAGGAGACTGACCACGAGGTCCCCGCCGAGTCCATCCAGAACGGTATGTCATACCTGTCGCGTCTGCTTCTGTCGTGCAGAGCGCTCATTGTGGCGTGCACGGAAACATGTCCCTTTTAGAGTAAGTGCCATGGTTCCCTGCAGCATGAGATGACGTTGATACAACACATGATGACCTCGTTACCAGCCTCGAATACGTTGTTCCCGTCAAGATTGGCACCCCTGGCGTCACGCTCAACCTCGACTTCGATACCGGCTCCTCCGACCTGTGGGTCTGGAGGTACGTGTACCTGGCGGTTCCTCAGACCTGACCATATACAGCCTGACATGCGTTCATTCCGCAGCTCTGAGCTCGCGCACGCATCGCGCTACAAGGGCCATCACGTGTACGACCCCTCCAAGTCCTCCACCGCGAAGAAGGCGTCCGGTACCTGGAACATCAGCTACGGTGACGGCTCGTCAGCGTCGGGGAATGTCTACACGGACAACGTCACCCTCGCTGACATCGTCATCGAGGGCCAGGCCATCGAGCTCGCTGAGAAACTCAGCTCGAGCTTCCTCCAGGACGGTGGAAACGACGGTCTCCTTGGTCTCGCCTGGCCGTCCATCAACACCGTCCAGCCCAAGCCCGTTGCTACTCCGGTTGAGAACCTGATCAACAAGAAGCAAATTAACCCCGTCTGTGTTCCAATGCGATGTATGTGACGGTACTGGCTGACAGCCTTCGCCCATGATCAGCCTGTCTTCACGGTCAAGCTCGGTCGCGGCGATGAGGCCGGATTCTACTCCTTCGGTAAGCTCATAACACTTGCTGTGTAACGAACATGACGCCATAACGATCATGTAGGCTTCATTGACACATCCGTGACGCCCAACCCGATCACGTACGCCCCCGTAGACAAGTGCGTACATGCGAACTAGCTGTCGCCTTTAGCAAATTCTGACAGCTTGCGGGCGACAGCTCCCAAGGGTTTTGGCAGGTACCGTCCGCTAGCTGGACGCTGAATGGCCAGACTAAGGAGCGCTCGGGCAACACCACGATACTTGATACTGGCACCACGCTCCTCCTCGTCGCTGATGACGTCGTAGAGGCCATCTACGGTCTGTGATCCGCTTAATACCCAAGAGGATCCAGCACTGATTATACGACACGCAGGGGAGATCAAGGGGGCTGAGTATGACGATCAGCAAGGCGGGTACAAGTACCCCTCTAACGCGACCATCCCCGAGGTATCCTTCGCCGTCGGCGATACGCTGTACAAGGTTCGTTCCGTCGCACGATCTAGTCCTTCAATCCATGCATCATCTCATGTCCTCCGCCAGGTGAACGCCAAGGACTTTGCATTTGGAGACGCCGGCGACGGCTACACCTTCGGCGGTATCCAGAGCCGCGGCAACCTCGACTTCGACATTTTCGGCGACGTCTTCCTCAAGTCCGTCTACGTTGTCTGTAAGTACCCACTGAGGGCTCCGTATGATGGTCTACCCAGACACTGACGAATCTCTAAGTCAACCAAGGCGAGAAGACCGTCGGCCTCGCTCAACGGGACGACTGATCACTGCATGAACACGAAAGCTGATGTACGATGATACAAGGTTATGGATGGATGCACGGATGCTATGGAAATGGTTGTTACGGACCCCGCTTTGTACAGGTTGGAGAATACCACAGATGAAGGCTTTGTTTACGCTCCCCTACGTCCCCATTCACTGGTTCCCGCCTGATTCGCAGTGATGGTTGACCACAGAATTATGACATTTCTACATGCTCAATTCGTTCGTCTTCTGCTGGTTTTATACAAAGCCTCTTCTGCAGCGTACGCTCTGCAGAGAGAGAACAAAAAAGCCAGCACTCCCTGGCGGGGAGTCGAACCCCGCTTTCGCGCGGCCATAGAGTGATGACAGGCGCGTGTACTAACCGATATACTACCAGGGACATATCAAATATTCAAGTGAATTGTAATATTAATTATTACCTGATCGTGTTCATGCAAGATCCTGCCACGGCAAATCGTGAATTTATCATCTCTAGACTGTTAGGGTCAACGAAACTCCTCGCATGGACTACGCTGACGCGTGAACGGTCCTGGAGTGAGCCTACTAGCACATGGGGGACCTGTTACCCATCTATATTCTGTCATGAACGCCTCTCAGGGTTCCGGTTTCCCCACTTTCTCGACCTCGAGCAAGGACTGCGCCTCGTTCGTCAACGCGTCACGTCCCTCCATCCCATTTCCTTCGGAAGCATCGGCATCATCTCCAGCCTCGTGATGAGGCAGAACCGATCGCCCGCCCAAGGCGCATGCACGACCTCGTCCTCCCATTCGTGCGAGGGCATCGCGAAGTTCGCGCTACACGACCACGTGATGCGGAGCGCGAGCGCGTGGTAGACCGTCGCGGGCTGCCCCGTGGTGAGCCCGACGCGGAGCGTGTCCTGGCGGACGTACACGCCCTTGGACATATTGCAGAGAACGGAAAATGTACGGCTTGAGAATGTCGAGAAAGTGCTTTCAGGTGATTGGCCAGGCGCTTAGCTTGTGAAGATCGAGCTCAGAGGCAATCATACCGAGCAGTTCGCGTGCAAGAATGGGCAGCGGTGCTGGTTGCATGACGTTCTTGCTCCTTGCACTGATCTAACCGTAAATTTCTCTATGTGAGCAGAGGAGTGAGGTGATGCTCAGATATCACCGTACTGAGGTCGGGAGCAGTGTACTCACGGTCCGGGAGTGCACGGCATCCATAGTGTGTAGATGTAGCTTTAATCAATCGTCAAAGGAAAGGAATGTCCGAGTTTGCCAAGTGGCACGTATATCCTTGCATCCAAATCGAATCTAAGGGAGGACGGATCAGTACTTCACATTTGTGTCGCGTTATCGAGAGCTGAATCAAGTTTGTTGTCAATAACAGTCCTTACAAATCCTACATAAAGGCCCGATGGCTAAGGTGTCAAATCATCATGTCGCAGGAACACTGCAGTGTCAGTGGACGTACGGGTGTGAAGAGTCCAGATAGTTTGGCAGCCACGAGGGGAAGGCCTGAGAGCGTGGCAACTTTATCAGGACTATAACACCGATAAATAAGTGATTAGGGTTTTTTCCTGGGAGTTTGACTTCAAGCCGGGCCTAACCTGAGGGCGGTTGATTATATGCGAGCATAGGCGCGGCGCTGACACGTGGTTAGAAGTTAGCCATAGCTGAACAGGCCGCATCTTGCCGCTCAATTGTTCCCGCCCTCGTAGCTTGCGTACAAAGATATTCAGAGCTCACCCATATGGATTGACGCGAGTGATCCGGGACGAATAAAAGCCCAAAGTAGCCTCCTGGGCCCGCCAGCGTCACTGTTGTGGTGACTGTCGCCGTACCAACTCCTCAGAATGCCGACCATTCTCAGAGCTTGAGTTGAGAGACATAACATTCCATTGGAGGCGCGGGCTACAGGGGAGCTTCAGATAGAAGGTGTGGATGTCCTTCGAGTTTGCCGCGACCAAGGCGCTCCGACTCTTGGCGAGTGCCAAGCGCGGTGTGGCGGTGCGGCGCGTCGGTGAAGCAATAAGTTGGTTGAGGCCACGAGTGCCGGAGTCGTAGTGCGTAGGCTCATCCCGACGACTCCCCAGCCGTTCGGTGATCGTACCCTTGCAATAGCACGTAGTAGGACGAAGACGCTACTTACACGGTCCAGTATTGACCCATGTCGCTAACAATGGTACTGGTGGCAGTCGCCTGTGGTGAAGCTGTGAGTAGTACGCGTCAGCAAGGTTTAATGACAGTAGAGTGGATTTCGTCCTACCAGGGTAATCCACCGAGAGACGGAGCAAAGAGACGGTGGTCGTGCGGTGGAAGGGACGGTTGTCGAACCGTCTTTTTAGTACAGGGGCATGGGCGCTTGCAGTTGTGGCTAACCTCCGCGGCTATTGTCGCGACTGCCGCACACGGGGAACAACGGCCACAAGGCCATTCATTCACCAATAGCCATTTAAGTAGAAGTATTCCAGGCACACGAGCGAAGGCGGTGGAGGAGTAGATAGCGCTGTCCTGCTGCCACATGCCAATGCGGTACTACGCGACACCGTCTGAGCTTGTATAGCCAGGTAGCCTTCCGTCCCTTCGGACTAATGAACACATGAATGCGATTCAGAGTGTAGTGATACATGATAGAATGATATAAACTGTGTATCGTAATATGCATGACGTTCGTTAGACCTACGTCTTGGTTTCCACATGGAGCGCGCTCTCCTTGTCGCTGATGTCGTCCGCGATGGGGACCCTGTTCTCCTGCACCTCCTCCTCGACCCGCTTCTGCTGCTCTTCGCGAATCTTCTCTCCCTCAAACACTGTGCGCCAATCAGCATCCCTGTCTCCGTTGCATGACATCTAAGCAAGGGAGACTCACGGAAGGCGAGCTCCTCGAGCGAGCGGCTCGACGTTTCAGGGAAGAGGAACCAGACGAAGATGACCTCGAAGAGGAGGAAGACGCAGTACGAGATGTAGTACTTCCACCCTGCGTTCGCAATTCCAATGGGATTTACGAACTGGTTGAAGAAACCCGCCGCGCGACCCCACCACTGGAATACCGCGATACCCTTCGCGCGAGCGTGGTACGGGAACAGCTCGACGAGGTATGCTGACGTAGTATGGTCAGTGACTATGACATACCAAGCGACGGGACTTCACTCACTGTATGTCAAAGCGTTGAAGCCCATATTGTACGCAACGCTGTACAGGAAGATGAATCTGCGAGCGAAGCCACGGCGGTCAGTCCCCCGACACAGTCATGAATAGAGGTATGCGTACGCAATGACCGCGCGCGATGCCTCTTGGCTGCCCGTGATCGCGTACTGGGCGCTCGCGACTGTCCAGCCGGTGAAGATGCACGTCAGCGCAATTGTGCACGTCAGGTACGCCGTGCGGCGGCGCATCTTCGGGACGGTGAGCGCGAGCGTGGTGCCGTTGACGAAGCCCCAGCAGGTCATCGCGAGGTTGATGAGGTTCTTCGTGTGGTCGTCGTGGATGCCGACGTTGTCGAGGATGCGCGCGAGGAAGTACGACGTGAGACCGTTCCCGGACCACTGTGTCGCGAGCCCGAGGAAGGAGCAGATGAGCAGCCGCCTGCGCATGCCCGACGCCGCTATGAGCTCCTTCCAGCTCCCCTTCGCCTGCTCCTTTTCGAGCTCGAGCGTCTTCTCGATCTCGGCGTACTCGAGCTTCACGAATTCGGAGTTGAGGTCGCCTTCGGCGTGGTACTTGGCGAGGATAGCGTACGCCTCTTCCCCGCGGCCTTTCGAGACGAGCCATCTGCGGAACTCACATGTAAGCTTGGTGTTGCAGCGTCCATGAGAGATCACCCACCGGGGTGATTCCGGGAGGAACCAGATGAAAGTAATTTGTAGCAAGCTCGGGACGACCTGGAGAATGGACGGTATCCGCCATCCCCAGTTATTCGGCATCGTGAACGTTCCGAGGGTAACACCGGCAGCAACAATTGCACCTAGGACGGGACCCCATTCAGCGCATGGAGCTACAGACAAGCTGGAAGAACCATACCAATGAACCATGAAGCGTTGAAGAGCGATCCGATCCGGGCCCGCTCCTTAGGGTACGCGATCTCACCGATCATAGAGGAGGCAGCAACGATGGCGAAGGGGATACCGAACCCGAGCAAGAACCGCGCGATGACGAACATGGCGACTATGGATACGGCTCAGTCAGTTCAATCCGCTGTGAGCGGTAACGATCCTCATACGCACAATCTTGGGAGGCGGTCTGCAACGCAGCCCCGATGATCATGATGATGCTACCGAATATGATTGCCCATCTTCGCCCAAAACGGTCCGTCACGAAGGGTACGAAGGGTAGAGAGCATATTGAGCCGAGTGAGTAGAGTGCGGAGAGGAGACCGAGAATAGTGGAGCGCGGGTGATTGAAGACTGTAAGAAGGCTGAGAAGTTGTTCATACAACGATGCATGCTTGCACTCACAAGCATCCCAGCTCGGCACGGCCTGCAAACCGTTCATCATCGAGGAGTCGAATCTGGCCAAGACCTTCTATGAGCTTGTTCTCGTGCTTGGAAAAGAAGCTTTGATCAGACTTACCCGCTCGTCATCTCGATCCCGATACATGTCGGAAACATCAGGATGTATAGCATGCGCAGATTGGGCTTCTTGTACCATGGCACCCTGTCCTGTTGGACATGTCGAGTGATGAGACTGTCGCCTGTGAGGCCGGATCCAGCAGCGGGTGCCATCGCGTCTCAAGGAAAGCCACACAGAGGGAGGAAGGGGCGAACGGCGAAGACCCGGAGGCGGATGGAAACAACCGCCCTCATGCCATGGCCACGGCGTATATAAGTCACTCGAGGATGCATCCTCACGAGTGCCATCCAGGTACGGTTTAAACTCAATTGAGCAGTGTATCAACACCATGCCCGCACCCACCGTGGCCACAGTACACACTTCGAGCGCGTTCACGTACACTGATCCATGAAAACTCCGGGGTAACATCTTGGCACTCACCCTGACATCTCTGCACGAGCAGCGGCGCGGCGGGCCCGCCCGTCCCTGCAGGTCTCTCTCAGGAGAAACTGTATGTGCGATAGTGATGGGAACGCGGGATAGGCGTCCTTGCAGCGTGCTAATCCTGTTCCTATAACTAGAACTTATCGTAGGACCAAAGAAGAGAAGTGTCGGGTAAGGTGCGGTCTTGCAAGATCGTCTCCCGGTGGTCATGGGAGGAGTCGCGGAGAAAGGTCGGCCAAGAGCTGTGTTGTCGGGTACTGGGGAGGCCCTCTTGGCATTGGAAATCCGGGCGTTCCACGGGCGCTACCCCAGAGTCTTGATGGTGTACGCATTCCCCCGCAGCTAAGGTAGGTAGTGTCCCATGTAGAACGCAAAGTCTATCACCTACCCCGTACTTCGCAGCCTCCAGGGGCATCAAGCAAGG